CAAAGTGTTCCTCCCAAATGTTAAAAACACAATTAAAGGTCATAGATAAGTAAAAGCGTAATTTCACATTGTCATCTTATAATTAGCAATTTTGACTTAGTGTGTTGTATACTAGTTTTATCCATCTGGACATTAACTGTGATTGTGAACACGTTCATTGAGTGCATTTTAAACTCGTCTCCAGTTGAGTAAATAGGGAATGATCGATAGGATAGATCAAAATTGTTGCCTTGCACAGAGAGTAGATCAAGCAATCATATATATAGATATGATTATTCTCTTCTTTGCCTCATTTGTTAAAATACATACTGGAAAAAGCGCTACATGGTCACCAGTTCACTGTCACTAATGTCAACATTGTTGCTCCTGCAGTTTGAGTGTCCTTGGAGTTTAGCTTTATGACCGGAGGAAAAACCACTCCAGGGTGGTGAGACATCACCTCTCCTATCTCAGAGAAAGACAGTGCAGACGGCTATGTTGGCAAACATAAACATGTGGACACCTACTGTCTGAAGACACACGCATCCTGCAGATATATGCTGTGTGTGTCAGTGCGCGCGCACACACACACACACCCTTGAAGTGAGTTGTCTATCCTCTCTATTTCACCGCTAAAGCAGGAAAATAAACGAGCTCCTGCTGCTGCCTCTCAACAATCCAGTTTTTCTTGTATAGTGGTGACATATAAGGGATTAAATATTAATACGCTATTGTGTATCGATTGACAAAATACCTGCCACTATAATGGGCCGGTTGATATTTCTGAATAAAACAATGACAAACTCGTTATCAAAGGGCATTTTTAAAACATTTATGACAAGTGAGTAGCTTTGGAGCAGGAGGCCTCACATGGACAATAAAAAGCATGCCGATGAAGACAACGTCCATTTAGACTTGCTCAAAATAAAAGTTAAAGATAATAAACAATGTCTCCTGAGCTCAGAAGCCATACCACCATGGATTTAAAACTCCAAAATAATGGATAATAATGATGGGTGATGAGGATGGGCTAACACTTCTAATTATTTACATGTCATTACAGTTTGTAGTGTAGACATCTAGCTGAGTTTTGATGTAAATAATCACAGCGTGCAAAAGGAGGAGTCCCTTTGGATTTGATGGCTAAAGAAGAAGATGGGAAATATTCAGTGAAAAAAAAAGAAAAGTTTTTCATTCTTTAATTCCAGAGGCAGAGTGAGCTACACTGATGCCTCCTTTGTTCGGCTGACTCATGGTTGGGGAATGGAACTGTTGTGTGGTGTGGAAAGATTTCACCACAAAAACAGAAAGGCAGGCCACTTCAAGCTGCAGGAAAGAAACAAAGAGGGTCTTTAAACATGCCAGTCCAGGCAGTGGAGAATCCAGTGAGTTGAGTCAAACTGAGAACAGCGAAGTAGAGATCTAGTGTTTGACACAAGGAGACTCTGGTGTGACTGTGAGAAGCCATGGAGACCCTTCCTGCTTTAGGGAAGGACTAGGGGAGACACTGGCTGTCCACTACGCAGGCCAGTGGGCCTTTCGAGGTGTCACCTCCACACAATGTGACAAACCCCTCTGGTCTGAGTCCTGTTCACACTCCCCCATCCCCTTCCTTATGTGTTCTTAGACAAATGAGTGAAGACCCCAGCTCGGGCACTACCACAGGCAAGGACGGAGACTGCATGGGCTCCACCAGTCAAGGCTTCTCGCTCCATCACTTCACACTTATATCCCCCACACTCTGCTATGTCCCCTTCCTTTATCTTACTTTTCAGGCTTCGGGCTTTCACTGCTCATTTTGTGACTACGAGACTTTTACCGAGGTCTCGCCCAGACATACGCCACATGTCACCCTGCCGTCTGTGGCCATGCTGCCTGGAGCCAGATGTGGTCTCAGGCTTGAACTGGAGACCTACTATGGCATGTCCCCAACAAACCCTTCTGTGTCTTATTCTTTATTTTTTATGGTGCTTACAGAAGACATATTCATACAGAACCTCGAGTACCAAGACAACAATGTAAGAAGCCAGCTTAAGCATAATTCCACATTAAATATAATAGACTCAATCAATCCATAATAAAAGCAGTGATTATTATTAAATAATGGCATCATGTTACTAGATTTTTAACTACTTGCATTTGAGTATTCAGCAAGCAGTTTAGTCTAATGGTTTTCCAGTTAAGGGCTTTTCTAAAATGAGATGAACTTACGAGGTGATTACTGAGATAGGAAGGAAGAAACAAGCTAGCAGTGAGGCTGTAAGGAGTTAGAGATTGATGAATAGTTCTTTTTAAATAAAAGGTCTTTTTCATGCCATGTTTCCTCCACCTTCTTGCTGAAGAAATAATCCACTTTATTTCTAGCTTTAATAATGTGTCTTATGGGCCAAACACACTGATATTATGCTGCATATGTAGTTATGCTGCAGTAGGCCTAAGATGCCGAGTGGGCTTCGCTGCGCTGACCGTTTCTTCTTCACTCACCTTTTTCGCTCCCTGTGTGTTTATAGACCTTTGCTGTAATTAATAATTAGTAATCATTATCCCATAGTGGACAAAAGCATAGTGGGTCCTGTTCTTTTGTCCTGTCTTTCTCTGCTCTCTTCTCCCTCACCCCCAACTGTGAGGGAGAAGAGATGGCTGGCAGATATCCACCTTTCCTTGAGTCTGGTTCTGCCAGAGGTTTCTTCCTGTTAAAAGGGAGTTTTTTCTTCCCACTTTTGCCAAGTAGGTGTTTTTTTTTCTTGTCATAGAGGGTCGTGTCATTTAAGGGGTTTCTTTACCTAATGACATAAAATATCTTGAGGTGACTGTTGCTGTAAATTGGTGCTATATAAATAAAATGTAATCAAATTGGAAAATAAAGCTATGAAGCACCTAATTAGTTAGATAATTTATCCACCATTTAATGCTCGATACCTTCCGGGTTACTTTACTCTGATTACTCAGCTGCACGCACAGTGAGGCTCTAAGCTAACAGTTACAGCGACAGCAGAAAATGTCTCAAACTCTGTGTTCCCACAAAAAAATGAGTTTGAGACATTTTGTCTTTTTAATTGGTAAATGGTAAATGGCCTGTATTTGTATAGCGCTTTTTCTAGTCCCTAAGGACCCCAAAGCGCTTTACACAACCGTCATCCACCCATTCACACACACATTCACACACTGGTGATGGCAAGCTACATTGTAGCCACAGCCACCCTGGGGCGCACTAAGAGGCGAGGCTGCCGGACACTGGCGCCACCGGGCCCTCTGACCACCACCAGTAGGCAACGGGTGAAGTGTCTTGCCCAAGTACACAACAACCGAGACTGTCCGAACCGGCAACCTTCCGATTACAAGGCGAACTCCCAACTCTTGAGCCACGATCGCCCCCAATTGGTGATACTAACCCTACTTGGCCTATCATCGTTTGATTTTTGGAAAATACGACACACCGTTTTTGCCACGTTGAGAAAAAATGTAAATAAAACGACATAGGTTTAGAGGGACATTTCTCTAGTGCTAAGTACTTAGACATCTCGCGTGAGACAACCACTTAAAAAAAATGTTTCACAGACTAAAACGCATAGAAACAACTATTCAACAGTTAAGACTCTGCTGTACTTTAACATCTTAATCTAAAAGTAAGATTTGATGAGACAAATCGAGTAAAATGCAGCTTTTTCTATGACACCCAGAACAGAACAATAAATTGGTAGAGCTGAAAATTGTTCTATCATACTTGAATAAATATACTAAGTTACTTCCTAATAGCTTCTCTAAAATATGCCAATATACGCATCTTTATCTCATTAGTATACCAAACCATACAACCTCCTCTATACAGCTCTTCTCTTCACAGCAGATAAGCTGAATTTATCTGAGTTTTTTCTTTAGCATATAGAAGGCAGAGCTAATATTGAGGAATGCAAAAAAAGAAAAAACCGTCATGGACTAATCTTGTGCTGAGTACAGCCATGATAATGATGATGGATTAGAAATACAGCAGTGTATTGGGATTACAGTGCTATTAACTGGCCAGGGAAGGAGGATGAGGAGGCTGACCAGTATCAAACTAATCAATCAAATAATCGGGACAAGCCCTTGTCTACTAGAAACAATTAGACCACTTCTCCAAAATCAATAACCCTGCATTCTGTTTAGATACCCACTGGTCACTCATTCAATAAAACCTTCGTGGGTTTTGATAAGCCTGCCAGTCGGCAAGGGCCATTTGAGGCTCCGAGTGGGAACAAAATACATCAAACAGGCTCCAGGAAGGCCTCATAAAAATTGCAAATCGAAAACAATATAATTTAATGTGGCAAAGGTTATTTTTCCACTTGTTCATTATCAAATGTCTCATGTGAAAGCACTGCTATGAAGGGGAAAAATCTATTTGGTCTTGAGTGTTTGGGGAAAACAGCAGGGACATGTATTATATCTAAAGGAAAACAAAATAACGATGGAATCAAAAGGGTTCATAAAGTTGCTCTGAGAAATAGCCTTAGTATTGGAGGTGTCTCCAGCTTCCAGCACAGCTCCCATACATAATTAAAACAGGAATTTGTATCTGTCTGTACTCTGTGGCCTCCTGATGAATTAATATCTGGTGGAAGTCCTACACAGCCATCAGATTAGCTCATTTATTTCTGTCAGCTGCTTGCTCTATCAGCTATTTGTAAATCAGAGAGGGTGGTTGGGTGGATGCTGGGGGTGGGGGTGGGGATCGTTGGACGTGTATTTATTATCATAAATGGGTGTTATGAATTAGGTCTGATTCAAACGTCCTGGCTATAGTGCCGCAAGTGTAAGTGCACAGTGATGACTTTCTTTTCTTTTCTTTTTTTTTTTTTACCTGGGAGAAATGTTATGTTGGTTGTTGCATTAATTATACCTTACATCACAGCTGTCCCTTACATGTATTGGGCTGCAGTTCAGTAAAACTTTGATATTTGTTGAAGATATTAAAAAAGAAAACAAAAACAAAAATAGGCATCAGGTGAAGAATGGTAAGTTTTTATGAAAAACAAAATCACCTTCCATTTCCTGGCTGTGGTTGCCGAGTTAGTTGAGGATGTAATTCAGACACTGATATCCTCTCCAGAGATGACTTGCTATGCGATGGTGTGTTTGGGCATCCGCTCCCCAGGTCAGATAGAAGATGATGCGACGGCGTCTTGGAGTTTTATGCTGTCAAGTCTGGAGGTGCATGAGTGTTGTGTGCATGAGAGGGCGAGCGGCTAGGGAGGGGAACAAACAAGGAGACTGCATTAACCTTTGGTCTGCTGGAGAGGGGAGGGCACAAGCGGGCCGGGCTGGTTGAAGGGACACCCCATAATCAGGCTCCTGTCAGTGCTGTTTCCAGGAGATTAATTCAGCTGGTTTCAATTCCAGTCGCTGCTCCCGTAGCCTCAACACAGGGTACACATATTGCCCTGTTTAAAACACATGCACATGGCACTGACTCAATTTAACACAGGAATAGCTGAGGGGGAAGGCTGTGTCACAGGAGTAGCCTTCATTCCTTACCAACACAAATAACATGCATCAACAAGAAAGCAGAAATCTCAGTCCGACCCAAAAGAGAAAGGAATCCAATCAAAAATTGAGATGCAATCTCAGCAAGAATAGATGATGTTTGAAGAGAAATGTAAGTCTTCTCTTGCAGTTAACACAGTGATTACATGAAGCTGTGACACTCCCGAGCTGAAGTTCCCATTTGGACTAAACACCTGCTCTGAGCTAGACATACAGGCAGAGCAGCCAGACAGAGCCTGGCTGTTGTGGCCAGAGGCTGAGGAGTTTCTACTGCAGCTAACTAATGAACTGATGAGACGGCAGTGCTGAGGAGCAGGTGATACAGGAGGATAGTGACAGAGACGTAGGGGTCCACCGTTAGTTACCTGTAATAGCCGGGATGACGATGTGCACCCCGGCACTGGGCTGACAGATGTCGGGGTTCTTCTGATCATCCATTTTCCACAGCGCGTCCGTAAAAGGTCCCGTGGCATTGATAACACATTTGGCTCTGACATCAAATTCCTGCCCTATGAAAGAAAACAGCATCAATCACCAGGGGCTATTCATCTGTGGCTGGTGACAAGCCGGATTATTAATTTATCAGCGAACGCCCCCCTCTCTCCGTAATAGAGTGGCTCGAGTGTGTCCATGGGAGACTTCCCAGGATTGTAATTAATAGGAAACAGACATACCTAATTTCCCTCTTGCCTCTTTGTGTCACAGAGTAGCTCAGTGGCAGTGACTGAGGGTCTTTTGAAATTGTGGAAGGGAAATGTTTGTTAATGTGATGCTTGATGTTGACGAGCTACAGTATATAATGGGATGCATATCAAAAGATACCATGAGGATAGCAAATGATCTGTTTTGGCAACAAGCTGAATGACAAACTACCTTTAAAAATTTGATGCGTGATGCTGCCACTGCTAAGAGAAGCGAAGAAAAGACCAGGAATGACTGCGTTCACAAGCCAGAAATTCATATCTCTGTGAGTGAGAAAAAAAAGAAGAAAAAATAAAAGACAAAGAAAAAAGAACTGATGACAAAACTGTTTTTATTATCCTTTCAGTCTGAGCCCTCCCTATGTGAGGCCCTCCTCTCACATTATTAAAGTGAGACATCTCCTCCAAGAGCACACTTCCATCTTTTAAAACATCAGGGGGTGGTCATGTGTTGAGATCCTCAAATCTTGGTTATTCATGAAATGTTTCAGAATACCATCTTTTACCCTTAACTGCTTTATTCTTCCAAAGCCAGCCCTATGCATGACATTTAAAAGGTAAGTAAGGCCATTTGGAGTACGCTAATTCTGTCTTATGTTCCTCCCTACAAGATCTGAAGCAGTCCTCTACACCATAAAACGCTTATAAAATATTAAAAGCCCCTGCATTAGATGTGCAATGACTATGTGCAAACTAGCACTGAGTAAGAGGCGCTGGGAGGAACCCTGTTGTGAGGGCTAGAGAGAGTGGGAATAGAGTGAGGCAGGAAGGAAGGAAGCAGCTTTTGTTGGATTTACCTGTGATCACATCCCTGCAGTGCGCTCCGCAGACCCTCTCCTTCCCCGTCTGAGGGTCTGCCCTCTCCAGTAGGTGCACCACTTCAGTGTAATTGGCTATGGCAGCCCCATACCTGGCAGCAGTGAGGGCGATGGCGAGGTTCATTCGAGCATCGTTGTGTTGTCCTGCAGCGGGGGGACAGGACCAGAGCAGGGGGATGTGAGTCACCCCAAGCCTGTGACTGGTGGTATGGAAGTGTGTCGGAACCGATATGTCACATCTGTCCCTGTCACTTTGCATCAGTGCGATGGCTGCTCTGGCCACACAAGGAGCACACTTAAAGCCACAGTGGCCCTTCGGCCTGAGTGTGGGGCCCCGGCAGCCCCTCCCCTCTCCTCTCCTACGCTGGGAAGGGTAACCGCTCCTCGGGAAAAGGAAGGGAATGCAAGGAATAGATGCACTGATGCCTTGAATATACAAAGAGTGCTGAGGAGCAAAAAAAAAAAATGGTTGTTTGAGAGTGTGCCTCTTGTGTAGTACATAATAGTTATTCCTGTCTTTTGAACATTTCATTAAGATTACTTTAATAGTTTTGTGTGCACAACTTCAGCAGGCTTCATTTTAAAAGAGAGCAGTGATCAGTGAAAACGGTCACGTCTCCTCCTAATAATCACATTTTTCAATATGTCAATATGACGGTAAACAAATCTTGACAGCGGCTGATCTTCCTTTCTAGAAGAAGATCCGTTGGCAGAATCCTTTTAATGAAGAGAGAAATCAAGTATCAAGATTTATGGATTAATCCCTCTTCAGCTCTAAAATACCAGAGATCTATATTCAGAGTCACAAGGTCACAAGTTTTGTAATTTAAATGAAAGGGTCTAAAAGGTGACAAATGAACAAAGCCCAGTTTCATTAGGAAGTGATTCTTATGTACATCTTTGAAGATTTATTGCTGGACAATCCCTTGGTTCAAAAGTAAAGAGAGAATAGAGATGATTAATCACTTTTAATGTTGGTGTCTCGGGTGACTTTCTTTCTATTTGTTATTGCCAAGGAAGTTCAAGTCCTCATTGTTGGCCAGGGAAAATGTTGCTACTTTGCAGGAATGAGCAGGGTCCTTTGTGCCCTGATTTATTTTACGTTTGAGCGACTTGAGGCTAGCTAGCTGGTGGGCTCTGCTTAATGCTACAGCATGCTGGAAGCCATTCCCTCACTACGGAAAATAAATAAATAAAATGAAGGGAAAAAGTAAAAAAAAAGAAAAAAAAAAGACCCAACAACAACAGATTTAAAGGCCACATTTTAGAATGAATTACATACAAGAGTATGCACCCTGCCATGATGTATTAGGAAGACCATAGAATCCACTTCTTCATCTCTGTAGGGTGAATGTGACCATTATAGTATGTGGTTAGCAAACTTATGCCACCGGTGGTGTATGAGCACACGCATGCACACGCATGCACACACACACAAGCGGCTAAGACTTGAGAGAGGTTTGGCACCGGTAGGCAGCGTCTGATCCTCGATGATTGCTGAGCCTTGTAGTGACCTTTGAACCCGTGATTCACAGCTCTCTGTTGTGGGGCCTGTCACAGATTGGCACTGGGTAAAGAAACAGGAGAATTAATACTACACTAAATGTCAGGAATTCAAGGATTAGTAAGATCACGGAACCAGGATTTATGAATGAGCGGCATAGCATGAGTATGATAACCCGGCACAGTGAAGATGATAACAATAATGATGATGATAATTATTATCATCAGCAATTAAAAGCCCAAATGGCCGAACGACAGAGGAGAGCTAAATGAGCATCAAAGCTCCCTGGAGGACAGGAGCCCACCCCCGCCCTCTTTCTTGTTCCCTCCCTCCCATCGTGCCCCTACTTCCGCTCGGCTCACACCACCAGTCGTTCCAGCCTCCTGGAGGTACAAAACTCAGTGGAGTGAGAGGAACTCTGCGGCTGGACAAAATGCTGCAAAATGACAGGGACAATAATGACAATGAATTTCATGTCTTCCAGTCATAGAGCCAGAGATGCTTGGCTGGGCTGACTTGTCCAATTAAATTGTTACAGGTACAGCAGGAGATAGAGTTATTATCCCAGATTCTTTTGTCAATTACTCCTTTAGCAGAAAGAAGAAGGGCAGAGTTGAGCAGACAACAAGAGAAAAATATTTCCGTAATATGGGAGAAAAAAAGTTTCAACACACACCAGAAATGTGAAAATTATTAGGCACGGTAATATAATATTTTAAATACTCGTGCTGCTGTTGACTAGTCGGATTTTTATGAAAAAAGCAAAGGTGAAGCGCCGCTTTTAAATATTTGAAAAACTCTTGCTGCTGAATGGTTAGAGTGATTGTCCATGTGATTTATGTGTATGAAGTAAAAAAAAAAAATCATTTCGTACTAAATTATATTTTTGCCAATACAACATTTTCTTAGGGTAAGGAATGTCTATTTGTTGAAACTATCTGGCAATGATGGCTTGAAAAATCCCGGGGAGATGAACCCAAGCAGTCAAAACCCAATCCCCATTGAAGAAGGTCAGGACAGAAAATGTCACTGCCATAATGTACCCAGTTGTTTATGGGAAAAGAGGTGGAAAAGACAGCTCGAGGAAAAATTAAATACATGTAAATGGTGTAATGTTTGTGATCAAAGAAAAAGAGTCTCTATGATAAACACTATGGCTAAATTAAATCGTATTAACATAACAATTATTATAAACAGTTATTAAGTAAATACTCTGATGCGTTTCAGATTCTCTGCTTTCTAGAGGTAAAAGAAGAAAAACACACTGGTATAAAACTGAACAAATATAAATAGCTCATGTAAAATACCCCCCTCTCCTACTTACTTCTGCTAAATGAATAAGGTTGACAGATCACTGCTCAGATAGTGGCCATATTCCCTCAGAAGTATGTTGCCTTTTTGCAGTACATGGGAATCCACATATCCTCAAATGCTAAATGAAGTCTGACAGATAGCCTAGAGAAACAAAGTTGGGAGTTTGAAGCTACAAGGGAGACCTTGAGTGAATGGGACATGCTATGTACACCCTGGCTAACAATCAACATATGCTTTGTTTTTCTGATGCCAACACCAGGCACATATAGCCCGGAGATAGATGGATCCTGGGACTGGTAGGAACGCGATGGCTACTGGCTATTTTCTGCTTTTTTTTTGGGTTGGTTTTTTTTAAATGTTGTTTCTAATTTGTTTACGCTCACATAGACAGCAATTACACAGCTGTGTAAAACACAATATATTTAACTATATTACACACAAACGAATAAAAACATCCGCTGTACAGCTGCACTACTTAAAATGAATGTTAATGCACAACATACAATTTAGCACCATGTATATATGTGTAAAATAAAATGTTTTTTTTTTACTGCTAATACAGAAAATCAGTTGTTATCAAAGTTGAATTCTTAAATGTGTTTTCTACAAACTTGTTTTTCTCATAAGACAAGAAAAAAATAACTTTTTAAAGCACACAAAACAGGACAGACTTAGGGTTCTACAATTTGCAGTCAGATTGCTGCTATCAGCATCTCCAGCTGTGATAAGTGCTATAATTTTTAACATTACAAGTGAAAGTGATGCATACACTTTAACAGTGCATAGTAATGTGCACAGCACACTATATACTGCTCAAAGAAAGATTTCATGATTAGAGGCTTTGAGCAATAAACAGTGGCTCCCACAGCTTGTCTGTCTTGAGTCTGGTGGATTAAGAGAATCAGCACCTTGCAGCATTAGTGGAAAAAATAAAGCATTTCCATGGCTGATATGTGCCGAGGATGACTTGTTACTACATAGTCACATTCTTTTATCCCCTCTGTCTGCATTTTCCTCTAGGACAGCACTAAAAAAGACTTAATTTTATCATAGTCTTGAACTCTTTGACTGATGTTAGTTGGGCTAGGTATGGCTTTGTGCAAACGAGGGAGGGGTTCGGCGATGGTGACAGGCAGCATGATGAGTTAAGAAGGTGCCACGG